GGTGCTCCTAAGTATTTAGTTTAGGGCGTTGTTGCTTATGGTTATCCCGCCAATACTCGGTCGTCATAGCCCCATCTGTTTTGAACAGGTCTTGCCACGAGAAGGCTGGGGTTGACATTTGGTCGTGAGAGGCTATATATTTCGCTTCGTAGACCCTTAAGTTTTTCATGTACATTTTATATGTACGGATTGATCAACTTTTGGGATAAATTAGGTCTCTGGAACTGCACTTTTTAGCGGGACCGATTTACATTTTTGACCATTTTAAAGAAAATATTCACCCGATTTGTTTGAAATTTCATATATAGGCTTCGCTTGCCAATCCGCGAAACCTTCTAACTTACTAAGGGCCTAATATACATTTTTTGCGTATAAAAAGAGAAATAATCAACCAATTTCATTTAAATTTAATATTTAAATTCTTCGTACTTCTTTTTTATTATGTCTACGGAACGGATTGATGGAATTTCTTGAAATTTGATATTTGAGTTGTGGTTGTTACCGAAACTAACTGGCGAGCATTTCAGGGAATTCGGGAAGCACAATTTACTTTTTTCTAGGTGTGTTAACTATAATCTTACTAATGTCCAAAAAATTGGGAAGAAGTATTGAACAGACATTTTTATAATATTCTGTAAGGTTTTCACTTAACTAGAACTAGACAATACACATTCCGGTCAGTTATGTGCTTTAAGCACATAAGTTTCCGTTCTACTATGCAAACTATTAGTTTGGTTTATTTGTGCCATGTTTTTTAGGGATGAATGTCAAAATTGATTTTATATTTTTACTTAAATTAATTTTTATAGGGACTCAATAATTTGCTGTTACAAATATTCAAAAATACTTAGTAATAAGATGTTATAAAAAGAAAATTAATTTGCCGGTGTGTGCTGGGAGTGAAAGATTGATATTTGTCTATGTTTTACCACAAACTTTTACTATTAAATGTGCAATGGAAGACTTGTAAAATGAAACAGTTTTTATAGAATTGATATGGCATGAAATGAAATTGTATATGGTATTATTTAAAATAACAGGAAAACACTTTTTTTTTTATATGAGTAAAGAATTTTATTCACATAAAATTTAAAATTACAAAGCATATAAAACGTTTAAATTGCTATAAACGTTTAATAGTAAATTTAGTTCAATATTTATTCTATATTTTGTTTTAATTTTTTTTACACATTACTTAAACGTGTTTAACGTGTTTTACTTTTAAAATTGGGATCTTAAGGAAATACAATATGAAGAACTGCATTTATGTGAACTCCCACACAAAATTTTTGAAAAGCATTAGACCAAAATATTACCAAATCAAACCGGGTTCAAACCATTTTCAATGAGTATAAAAACTGTATTTATTATTATATAGCTTAATATTTAATACTATAAATTAAAAAATTAATATTAAAGAAATCACAATTATATGTACATATAATCTATAATATGCATAACTAAAACAAAAATAATTATAGGAATATGTCGATAATTTTCAATATACAGTGTGTCAGCGGTCTGCGAGCAGATGGTACTTCTGAAACTGTAGAATGCGCTCTGGCAAATAAAAGCACCAAGTCACATTTTTGGACCCAACTTCTTGAATTATCAGGCCTCAGAGTAAAGTTTTCTGTAAATGTTGTAGGTCTTATATTAAATCCTATATATGAACTTCAACCTATTTATGAAATCCTTTGAAATATAATCTCAGTGTCAAAGACATTGATGACTGTTTTATTTTTAAAATCTTAATTTTATATGTAAAATTAAGATTTTAAAAAATTTTTTCCAATAAATTTTTCTTTAATCGTCATTTACTCATAATTGCATCTTACTAACTTATCATTCTTTTTACGGGAAGTGATGTCTGCTATTCTGGCCTTCATTTCCCAAAAAAATACATAAAAATTGCAAAAAGTTTCAGGAATAACATATTACATTTTTGTTTTAATAATATAATAGGCTGAATTGTCAACATAACTTTGATCATAATCAAATTGTTGAGTTATTTTTGTTTACATTTTCTATTGAATATTAAATTTTCGTGAGGACATTCTATTACCTGCCTGCGGAGGTACCCCTGAATCGCGAAAATTCTGTATAGTGTAAAGAAAAAACTACGGCTTATTATGATGTCATGGAACAGTATTCTCCACCTGTATTAAATAAATAGTTAAATAAAAAGTACTATACTGCAAAGTAATTTATTGGAGAAAATGTCCTTCCTATATTACAAACAGTTGGTTTAATTGTTGGTAATTTTTTGGAAAATGCTTAAATCTGGAAAAATGCTAAAAAGATAAGTTGTTTTCAATCATGTCTAATACTGTAAAACTAATTTTTAAATTTTGATGTTAAGAATAGGGTGTCAATGTCAAGGCCTAGATTTCTATTGTGTCAAAGTTTTTGTTCTTGTATAAAAGGAAAGTTTTTCTTCATGTACAAAAGGAATAAGCGTGAATGAGCATAGACTGTAAATAATTTTTCTCTTTCATTTTCCAAATGGAATAAGAAAGCTTTATATTTTCTTATTTATTTCCAATTTTCAAGCTGTTTTTTCCACCAAAGCTTTTTTAGATTCTTCACAATTCTGGCTTTTTAAGTTTATTTCTTATAACATAACATGTATACATAATGTATTTACAAGTGCACATCAAATTGTTGTAATAAATATGTATATATATAAATACATACATATGTATGTATATATATATCTATACATATTATGGCGTATTATTTATTACTCTTTTTAGATTATGCAGGTAACTGTAATAAGCTAAATTTAATTATCGCATTTTTTTAATAAAATGAATTTCAATTTTACCATAATTACTTATTTTACATAATGCTAAAGTTATATATGAATATATATAATTATAAAAGTATACATATGAATATATAATTGAGACATATGTACATTGTACATAATAAACTTATGTACGTATTTTATTTACTATTTTAATTCTTTAAAAGTTTTATATAAAAACTTTTAAAGAATTGAATTAGTGTGCTTAAACACGAGCATATTTTATATAAAATAAAAAGCATCTTTTACACTTATCCTTTAAAAAAAAGTTAAGGTGGATTGCAGAACTGCAAATGCTATCTTTTTTTTCCATGCCTATATGTAAATATATTATATATGCATATGTGCATGTCTATATAATTATGGAGAAAGATGCCTTGCAAATGAACGTTGCTATTTACAGAGGTGCTAGTAGTACAATTTTAGGGACTTTTTAGCCTTGATAAAACTTTTTAGAACGATTTCACCGATCGCATTGCATACAATATGATAGTATCAAATTTCGAATGTCGAATTTTCGGGACGAATGCCCTTCAATGGCATGGAAGCGTAAACAAACTATATTTCCCGAGATGTCGGTCTGTGTATATACGATCGTCTATCCTAAGGCATATTGAAAATGTAACTTTTAGAAAATGTCAGGTTTCGGGAACTTGACCATTACTATTTGCCGATTTGCAATTTTTATTATCTTTAAGAAAATATTCAATATAATTTATAACTTTTTGAATAAGCTTTTTTTACAATATGGCAAACTTTTCGAAACTAGCTTTTCGAAGATATCAGGCATTACGAGCTCGACTTCTATTATTTAGAATGCAAATTTTTCGCAAATTCTAAAAAAAATTTGAAAAAGTTAAGTATAAGTTTCACGTTTAAGCGTAAATATATCTAAGTAAATATATTTTTCCTATAGAACAAGATTTTGATGTATCATGAACTTTGTATATTTCTTTGACCTTACATGAACTCTGTCGAATCTCTATAAAGCAGTTTGCTTATATAGCAAGGTACACACTCTTGTGTATAATAAGAGTGTGTATTATTATATAATTAGGCAATTATTTAAAATAATAGTATTATATAATAAGGCAATAAAAGAATTAAGTGCAATTATTTCAACAAAACATATTTTTCATATTTTTAAATTAAATAAGATTGAAAATTAAATAAGAATTAAATTGCTAAAGGCAAATGTGCTTCTTTTAAAAAAATTTTTCTAAACGGATGCTATTTATTCTCATGCTTTAATATTTTTGTATGAGTACAAAAAAGTTTGTAAGTATATGTAATTGTGGTGTTGTGTCACATCTATGTAATTTTACTAGATATCAGTATTAAGTGGTTATATTTATATTATTCATAATATTATGTCTGCATAAATTGTTGCAGAAATATCAAATACTACAGTGGCTTTCTAGAACTTTATAGGGTGCAAAAGAGTTTGTTATATTTTCCTCTTTATTAAATTAACAAAAATAATAACTATTGATATATTTATATTTTACAGATATATTCACCCATATGCATCTGAAACACATCAATAATTGTGGTGGGACACCTATATCAAAAGCCTGGAGATTTATATTAGATTATGGAAAAGACAGAATTTATATTGTTTATATTGGAGATGAAATAGAGGTATTGGTTGGTCGGTTGGTTGACGTGCCCAAAAATGGCACAAATGTAACGATTTGCTACCATCCCGTGATTAACATGCCTTTTTGAGGAATCTGTCGAAATTCTCGATGCTAATTATAAATTATATTTTGTATAATTTTGCTTATACTAAGCATAATATGAAAGGACCCTGCAACAAATAGAATAAAAACACAATTTGGTTTATTTTGATACTCATTGAATTGATTAATGTGAATTTATCGGAGCAATGTCTACTTTCAAATATCTGCAGCTACCTAAAATTTTTTTAATAATTTTTTCTAATTAGTCAATTGGCATTCTAAACGAATTAATCTAAGTTAAATGTTATGATAAACTAAAAGCATTTTGCTTTTTTAGTTCTGTTTTAGTTTATGTACTTGTGTTCGTGGAGGAAAAGCTTTCAAATATTTCCCTGCAGTTTTCTTTTAACTTTTCTATAAACAACATCATTTTAAAAAAAATTCTCTGTTCAACAAATCAACTGATATAAAATAAAAAAAAGTAAATAAAATATAAAAGAATCAGGCATATTTTTTTAATATTTTAATTAAAAAAAATAAATTAAATAAAAAAAATATTCATCGATTTCAAAAAAACTTTTTTTTTGAAATTTTTTCTTCTATTTTCGAATTTTTATTTAAATGACAAAATTTAATCATTTAAAAAGATAAAAAAAGTAATAATTTAAACTGTAAAATTTTGTGCAAAAAAATTAAAAAAAATTATTTCAAATATCTTGTTTTCACTTTTTTATTTTCATTTTCTAACTTTTCTCGTTAAAAAGGAAAATTAGTGGAAATTTTTTGAACTTATAAAAATCAGTTTCCGCATAGAAAATGATTTTTTATGATTTTTCTTTTTTGTAGCTTTTTACTTTTTGAATTTCTAGTTGAAAATCGATTTGAAAGTGTTTCTTGAGTTCAAGGTTGGTTTTTTTTGTTCTATACGATTCTGTAGAAATCTGGTATTGTGTATATATAAGTTATTTTTGTACGAATTGTTAGAAATAAAATATACATATATGAATATATCCACATAAAGGCAAGGATATACAGTGTATGTATTTTTTTAAATCAATTATTCACTTTAATATACTTATTAATTATATTTACTTATTACGAATGTATGTGTACAGTTTTAATTCTGAAAACAAAAAAAAAACTTATGAATGGGGAAAAGCACTAAAAATTAGACTAAAAATTTAGTTTATTAGATATTTTAGAAGTAAACCCAAAAAAAAATAAATACTAAATAATTTTTCATGCTTTTCTAATCAATTTTTATTTTGAAATAGTTAAAAAAAAATAACAAAAAAATTCACACTTCGTTATAACTTTCATTATTTTTGTTATACTACTACTCGGTTTGGACTTTTCAAGATTTTTTACTCTCACTTTTAATATTCTACACTTTAATATTAAAGAATGACAGTAAAAAATGAGTAAAAATTCAGTTAAATTAAATAGTTTATAAGTGATGTTTTTGAATAATGTCTTATAACAGGAAATAAAAAATATTTACAAAAAGTTCGCAAGTCAAAACGATACATAATCAATATATACATACCTATTGCAATATCCTATTGTGTCCTTAACATTATAACATATATGTAGACTTGTATATTAATGTATAGTATTTATTATGTATATGTACAATATTACGTACAATATAGTAGTACAGTGGCTATACACATATCTGAGATTGAATATTTTATTTTCATGTTGATTTTAATTACACTGTTACTTACTATACGGTGGAAAGGTTAAATATAATTACAATAATATGAATTATTTAACAATACATTAAATATACCCAATGTATATACAATATGTATATTATTTTGAACACATTGTGTAAAGTTATTTTATAGTATTATAGTTAGGAATTTTACGTTTTATTACATACTTATTTTTCCATACAAAATATGTAGGTATCATACATAATATATACTTATTATACTCTATTATATTGTTTCTTGAATTTTTTTTTAATCAACATTCAAAATTAGTACAAAATAAAAGATATAGAATTTTTTTGGATTTATTTTTTAACACAAATTTTATTCCGTTATTCAAGTGTTTTCGAAAATTTAACTTTTTATTTTAAACGAATAAGTATTGGTTTGTATGGTTTAAATGAATAAGTATATTGAAATTTATCGAAATATGTGTACTCGTACATAAAAAAAAGTTAAAAAATTCAGGTTTTAATTAACACAAAGTATAATTTGCATTTTATTGCAAGTTTTTTTATTCTATGTATATAATTTTATTACATCTAAGATAATTTACAAAAGTATATCACACTATTATTTGAAAGAATGTTCTTTAACGAAAATATATTTTAGTAAGTAATTTTTGTCCTAGTTTATATGAGTTTCATTGAGTTTATAATTTGAATTAAGGTGAAATATTTCTAAAAAAAATTAATTAATTAAATAAATTTTGAAATGTGACATGTGCAAAATACATATACATATATAAGCACGATGGTAGTAATTAAATTAGATTTCATCTTATCTCTACAGTTAGTCAAATGAGAAAAATTATGAATATAATAAACAACAGAAGGTAGAAATTTATCTATAGACGGGAAGCCTCATTAAATTCACTACTAAGAGCCAATATATTCCAAACTAATAATCATATTGAAATTATAATTTTCGTTTTTAAGCCAATTATTTTAGATTCATTATAGAGTTTCAGCTTTATATTATTACACCCATTAGCATTGCATTACGAGTACAATAAAATTTATCACATAACTGTACACCTACACACATATATAACTGTAATAGTTTGCATAAGAAATCAATTTGCCCAAGAAATAATTGTTTAAAAGAAAATTACAAAATACATTTATAAATTTTTACGGTAAGGTCTTTTTGAGATAATCATATTAGAAATAGTTTAAGTACAAAATCGGGTGTATAGTTGTTTAACATTATACGAGCGGTTTTTAAGAAAATTTAATGAAGAAAATAAGATATTTGAAATTTCCTTTTACTATTTTTTTTACATAAAAATAAATTTTATTTCATAACTTTTAATATCAATAATTTTATTTTTCTTTTTATATATGACGTTTCTACAACAATCCATAATATCAATAATTATAAAGACCAACTTATTAAGCGCACACTAATGGTTTAAATTCCATGTATCATAAGAGAGAAAAAAAAACTTAAATAAAATTTACTTTAAGAAAATGTGGAATAGTAGTTTTGCTATATAAATTGATTTATGGATTTAGTAGCTCAATCTGATCACAATTTGATATATGCATTTTGAATCGCATATGTATACCGTCACAAAAGGAAATTTTTGATAAGAGAAAATGTTATTTTTGGAATGATTTTTTATTTCGTCAAAGAAAAAGGATAAACAATTATTCATAATTACACCCTATTTAGATAACTAACTACCTAAATATATAAACATATACTTATATTTAGTATATTATTAAAGTATATATAAATTAATTTAATAAAAAACCAAAGAATATCATGGTTGATTTACCAGCAGTATCATCAACAGCTCCCGCAGAAGGTGAAAGTTCAAAATTTAGGAAATTAATGTCAAGCGGTAAACCTGCAGGAATATTAAAATCGAAATTTTTAACAGTTTTGGGAAATAGCAATGAACTGCTTAATAGAATTTCTAATAAGGTATAATGAAACAAATAATTCTTTTTAAAATTACTAAATTTAATATATACATATACATACATACATATATAATTAGGCTTTGTATGTTAATGTCGTCCTCACAATTGTAAGATCTTGCAAAATAGTAGCTGTAAAAACAAATATTAACTAGTATCATTTAATTTAAAATATGTAAGTACATATGTGTTTCCGCGGATAGGGCCATAACTTTGTTTTGGTTTTGAATACATACACGGGACTTTGTCTGAATGAATAGTTTATGTACACAAATATTCCTACACTATTAGAACGATTTAACTTATTTTATAGTTTCGTGAATTTGTTAGTGTGGGAGCGACATTATCTTGTTCTATGTTAAGCAAATTTTTATTTTTAAAATAAATAAATGAGCGTTTTTGAATATTTTCTTTTAAATGTCGTATGAAACTGAAGGAAAGTCTTAAAATTTTTATATTTTAATCGGATTTTCCCACTTTTGTACAACCTGTATGACAAAAACAAAATGCAAAATTTCAAAATTCTAATAGCAACTCCTTGAAAATTCGTCAACTAAAACCCCATAACGTCTTATCTGGCCATTTTGAAAAAGAGTATTAACTATCAAATTTTTGTTAAGCCAAAATCGGGTGTGATTAGTTTGAAAACAAAATTAACAATAACGAATAAAAAAGTTAATTTTGGCCTTTGGCAAAATTTAATATTTCTTATTTTAAGTTAACTTTATCTTATGCTATTCAGCTAAAATTTTAAAATTTAAGTCAACTTTATATTAACTCAAAACTTTAAAACTTTTACACTCGATCTATAACTTCACGGGATCTTTTTTCAAAAACCTTGTTGAACAAAAGCTATATAGTTTTTCAACACTTTTTTAACCAAATGCGCGCATGAAAACTATATAACATTAATATTTTAAAAGACCTTTCTTCGGAACTGAGCCCATGGACTACCGATGTCAAAAACAAATTATCAAACAAAAATTTTGTTTTACAGAACTGTTCGATGATAAGCCGGATGAATACATTTTATGAATTTCCTACCAGAATCTTGTATGAGGTTCAATATTGGTTTGTGTGCAAAAAAAATATCCATATGTAGCAAAATTCAGATTTCTAGCTCTTCAGATTTCTAGTTCTAAAATGGGTAAAACTGATTTCTCAAATTGATGAAGGAACACGAATAAATCGAAATAGAATTTGATTGTGAACAAAAATATTTATTTATATTTCATGGGGTCCCAAATGTTTTCTTTTTGGTGTTACAAACGTCGTCGCAAAATGAATATAACTAATATTTAATATACAGACGAGTAAAAAAAATGCATTCGATTAAACAATAAAAAGATCAAATAATAAAAAGGATATCAACTAAAAATTTACTTACTTAGAGTAATTATTGTTAGAATTCTAAAAAGATCTCTGTACTGTACTTCTGTATATGTTCCATGCCACAATAATATTATGCTGTTCAAATTGGAAAAAGCATTAATATAATGGTGTTTTAGTAAGTTTTTTAAGATTAAATCTACAATCTAAAAGTGAGTTAAAACAGAGTTTGTCGTTATCTTTTCACTTTTATGGAAATTTTGAAAATTTGTAGTTTTGCAAATATAAGATGCCAAAATCGAAATTTCGTTAATTTAAAGCACCATTTTGCCTTCTTAATATTTAATTATGTTGTGCCGAAGTAGAAGAAGCATGTCCCTTAATGTCCGTTAATTCAGCGGTAATTTCTACCGGTTTGGCGGAGTTTAATAAGTGTGTATGGTTTCTATGCAATAAATAATCAAAAAATGGCATTTTTAAGACTTTTATGGTCTATAACTTTTAGAAAGGGCCTTCTTTATCCTCCTTCTAAAATTTTGTAAAAAATTTTTTCTACAGAAACAAGTTTTTACTAAACATCTGTTTAATAATTTGTTTAAATAATTTCTAATAAAACTGGTATTTTAGTGCGAAAAGTCACATTCAATAGAAATTGTCTGTTATTTATATTGAATATTCTTCTTAAATTTCTATGTACTATTTTTATTTTAAAAAATAGAAAATCACTTTTCTATTTTTTAAAATAAAAATAAAACGCCGTCTATTGTTCAAAAATATATTTTTAATTTTAAAATGCATTTTATATTATTGCCTTAAATTGTTAGCACGATTATAAGTAATGCGAATTTATACGGTTGCGAATATTGTTAAATAAGAAAGACAAATTTCGAAAAAGTCCTTGAAAACATTCATAATCAACATAATGGAAAAAGTACACAATATTATAATAGTAATATAGGCACACGATACTCGAATTATTGCACTTTTTACCAAAAGTTTATCAATTCTATTGTTTATTGAATTCATGGTCAATGTAACATTTATTATCTTGTATTTTTTGTCTTGAACTTAACCTTGGTAGAAATAACCTAGATAAAAATGCTAGTTTGATGTGTCCTTAATATTAACATTGAATCGGATTTCATGTACCTATACATACATACATACATATGTGTGTACGTAACATACATAAGACAACATGTGCATATGTACATAATAATGTCAAGGTTTAAAAGGCGCAGCAAAAATTTATAATTTCAGGGACAAAAATTGCAAATTAAAATGCAGATTTTGCTCGTTTATTGTTATGAAATTATAAATATCTTATTATATTTTTTATCTGACATTTCTCCATAGTTGCGTTTGTGTATACATAAAATAATTTCTATTTACGTTTTATTTTAAATAAAGTTGGGTCAAACTAGTGGTTTGTAATGTTGCACTTTTGCCTTCAACAAGTAAAAATACTGCTTTTAGAAACCATCTATGTACATACATATACCTACTGCACCATTAAAATTACTTTCATTCCTATACGAAACTATTTCAAGGACTGCATATGAACAATCAGAATGAACAATTTTTGCAGCCTTTGAAATAAAGCAAAAAAAGGTTAAGGCCCTTATTATGATCGGCGAAGTGGGTAAAGTAAAAATATAAATTTTTGGTATTATGATTAGGGAATTTTAGGCGAATGAGCATTCAAATTTGCCGAATGTAACAATTCTGTTTGACAAGCTTGGCGAATGAAACCAAAAATCAAAATAATACATGTTTTTTCTTTACTGGATATTATAGCGTGTATAGTGATTTAATGGAAAAATTAAAACTATCTGCAAAGTAAGTTCATAGAATTCTACAAATTATTGTAAAAAATATTGATTGTTTAATATTATATTAAGCGTGAAAAAAAGCGAACCAAAAACAATTCGAGCATTTAAATAAATTAATGGACAACAATCCCGATATTGCTAAATAGGAAAATTCAATAATTGTTTTTGCAAAAACACAAAAACAATGTAGATACGTTATGTGTGGTGTTAACCTCATTATTTTCGGTAGATTTTCTGATGTCTTGCGGTAGCAACATTTTGGATCTGGCAAATGAAAGCATTCGCTAATCATAATTTAAAATGCCATTCGCTTCGCCTAATCCACTCGACTCGCCTGGCCATTCGCTTCGCCGATCATAATAAGGGTATTAAAGAGGTGTTAATATAATGCTCGATTTTAAGGGTTAATTGTGCAATTATTTATTATTAGCTTTCTACATTTATAGAAATTTGAAAAAGCTTGCCGTTAAAATTTCAGACATTTACTAGTCTAAAAGAAAAATGGCATCAAAAATTTGGAAAAAACAGATTTTAGATAACGGTAAATTTTAACGGCGATTTTGTTTTTTAAAGTACAAATATGGTATGCCATGGTAAAAGAAGACGACCATTATAAGCAGTTATAAAATGCCGTTTTTAGGGTTTTAGGGGAGTATAAGTTCTAGAGGAGGGCAGATAGATAATAATTTTCTTCTACGGAAATAAGTTTCTAGCAAAGATCTATGTAGATATTAAATTCCAACTTTCTATCTCCAAAGGTGTAGAAGTTTTGTTAACATGCCCAAAGGCGAACAGACGGACAGAGTGAATTGAATAAGCACTTTTTTCAAAATTTTAGAAAAGTGCTTAAAAATTTGTTCATACCACATAGTTAAGGAAATCAGAATTAGTATGTTTTGCAAGCACTAACGTGGACTACAGTAAAGAATTATAAGATATAATACTGCAAAGACTACAGTACAAAATTATAATATAATGTATGGATTATATTATAGTTATACATATAGTTATAACCATATTTGTGCGGTACATATACATATACATATATGTGACTCTTATGTACGAAAACATTCTAAGAGTAAAAAAATTCGGCTAATCATTAAGTAATAAAAAATAAATTCCGTAATAAAAATATAAAATTAAATTAGTCATGTGTCGCACCACATCTTATAATTAAAGTTTTAAAACTATAAAAAGGAAAAATAATTTCTAATTTAAACAAAGCACAAAATCGTTGAAATAAATTTCAAGATAACTATTTTAAATTTCAGCTTGAAGAAACTTTAGATTTAAGTTCTGATTCAGATTATTGTGATGATGACGAAGAAGAAGTGCCTGGTAAGCAGTTTTATTTAGAAAATTTTAACATTTTGAATAATATAAAACTTTTATAATAGAGGATGAATCAGTTGATATGGCTACAATAGACTTTGACGCAAGACGAGTTAAGGCTAGAAGAGCTCATGAAGAAATAATATCAGGACGGTATCGTGTTCCGAACTTAATTCCAAGTAATTTCTTTTGTATAATATTTGATTTAATGTTACACTCTTTATTATTTATTAATACAATAAGTAATCATAATTTGTAGGAAAAACAAATAATAAAATAATTCCTAATGGCAAAAATCCAAAATCATCTTCTAGTAGTGATACAAGTATTAACAACTCAAGACGAAGCAGTTCATATAGCAATTCAATTGATTCAAAATCATCGATTGATGAAAATTTAATTCACGGAGAAAATATTCAATGCCTCACGAGATCTCTCAACCAAGAGGACGTAGGCCCAGGGGCTATGAATTTAAACGAAGCTCCTTCGATTGATGTTGTTGCAGCTGAACCAATAATTCCTTCTGTTGGAGATGATGAAGATTTGGAAATGAAGTTTGCTAAATCAGCTGCTATTGTGAATGTTTTTAATCAAAATTCACCAGTTACAGCAGAAGAATTTCAGAGAACTCTAAAAAAAACTTCAAATAGTAGCACATTAACAAGTCTTAATGATCCCTTACCAATGAGCGGTAGTATGGAATCATCAGATTTAAAAAATTGGGTACGTTCTGATTCACTTAATTCGGATCCATCCTGGGCGTCTTCAATTAGTTTAGACGGTGAAACGGAAGAAAGTTGCAAGAAATTTATGAAACAATTTGTGGAAATATTGTTTACTAATAGTTCAACAATAACGGCAGAGCTTAAATCAGAATTTGGCATTCATGCGAGAACAGAAACTGGTAGACTCTGGTTTTCAAGATATTTAAATGCCCAACGTGTAAAATCAAAAAGAGTGGATGAGACCACATTTTACTCGTTGGTACAATATTTTGCGATTATTCTGTTTGAATGCCATGAAAGCGAAGATTATTCACCTGCTAAGAGTCTTATGAATATGTGCTTTACATTTTATCATGATAGTAAGTAATTGCAGTAGTAGAAATTGGGTAAATCTTATAGTTTTAAAGAAATGAGTTCCTGAAAATATAATTTTTGCTAACTTTAATAGTGACTGGAGTGAAAGATGAGGTGGAGAAACAATTTTCTCTGCTATTAAAATTTCATACTCTCACTGCTTACTGTCTAAGAAAAAGATGAAGACAAAAATAAAAAAAAAAGGATTTAAAAAACCTTTACTTTCATCAGTGATTTGTTCATTTTAATATTATCTTTACTGTTTTTTATCTTTACTGTTAGTAAAATAAGCAAATTCCTATTTCGTTACGTTTATGGAGTTTAAGAAATGTTTGTAGTTTTGACATATTATGTAATGGTTGGAAGGAATGTAGTAGTAACAGTTAGTTACATAATATAAATTCATAAGCTAAAATACTCAACTTTAAAGTATCAAAAAGAACAAATGAAAAAACAAAATTGCAAAACTTTGCAGCATTTCATTCCTTTTAATTTCACTCAAAGGTTTTCGCGTTGAAAATTTTTCATAAGCACGGTGTATAGCGATATGCAGTGAAAATTGTGCTAGTGTATATGAAATTTTTAAATATAGATGTTACAAATATAGTTTGGTCGCATAAATTCAATGAAAAATTGTTTTGAATACTGCAGTTAAATCATATGAATTATTTTGTTTTCAAAGAATTATTAAAAATATATTACGTTTCTATCACCTTATGCTATTGTAGCATTAATGGAAATCTCGAATATTCTCATTTGGTATTTTTTTCTAGTTGAAGTTCCTGGCTGTGAACCGTATAGAGAATATTTGTTCACATATTTGCGCCAGCAGCCAATATGGCATACGTTACGTTTTTGGAATGCTGCCTTTTTTGATGCTTTACAGTGCGAACGAGCACATCGTCCAGTGCCTAAAAATAGTAAAAATAAGAGAAAACTAAAAAATCAAGCAAATAAAAAAAACGATGATGAGAAGTTTGATAAAAATAATTTAAAAAACATTGATGATACAAATAAAGAAGAAAGTGAAAACGAAAGTTCATCTGCATCGGAACATAATCAAGATGCAATTTTGCAAAATGAATACAAGGAAGATGCAATTTTTCAACAAAACATAACATTTGGGCAGCTCGGGTAGGAAAACTTATATTTTCTTATACATATTCTGTTTTATTTTTTACTCAATTTGCATTTGAAATTTTACATTTTTAGAACATTTACTTGTAATATGCACGCATTCGGTTTAAGTAGAGATTTATCATTGGAGTTCTTAAGAAAACAAGCAACTATAGCCAACTTAAGTAAAGGTAGTTTTATTTTAATTAATTGCGTTCTTTCATTATGTTTTGGTTTGGTTTTATTTAAACTTAATTTATTGAAAATGTTTTATATTTTAGATCAAATAAAATTGATTAGAGATAACATAAATCGTATGTACCTGGAAACTGAAAAATGGGGTGCTTAGAATTCTATATATAAGCTGCTTAAAATTTGTTAGTAAAATAAATTGAAATAATTTTTTTAGAAGAGAAAACTAAGGTGGAAATGCAGAAAATATTGTTGAAACATTGTTATATTTTATAAAAAAAAATAATTATTTTATTTATAACCTAGTTAGATCATGATTTTGCGATACTTTAAGAAACATTAAAATAAGTTTTTTTTCGCAAATTTTTAATGCTGATCTAAAGAAATTTTAATATTATTTAGGTAAACCAAAATATGAAATATCTATTTTTTCTGTTTTTCAATATTTTATTTAAATATTTCTATAAGGTTTCCAAAAATATAACTTTTATTATATACATATTCATAGACATATAATTTTTCAATTATCCAATTTAGTTAGAAAAGGTTTGTATTTAGAAGTTAAACTGTTGGAGTGTTTTACTTTTAAATTCGCAATTCTAAACCTATTATCATACCGTAATAATTATATGAAGATTCTAAGAAACCTACGAGTGTATGTAACTAGTTTCTAAACAATTTAAAGAAGAAATAGAGAATAAGTTTATGAATATTTGGAATTTATTTTGAAAACGCAAAAATTAAAATTTTAGGATTCGTTTTTTGTTTCTAAGCTAGGAATTTTTGACAACTGATTATTAAATTTTATAAAAATAAGTATATGTATATGAATTTTATGCATATGCGTGTCCATAAAAATTTATTAATATTGAATTTTAGAAATATTTTAATTAATTTTAAAATAACTACATATTTTGGAAAATATTTTGTTAGTACGCCTTTATAGGTATTAGTTTTTATAAAGGAAACAGAAAAATTGCGCATTTGGGATTGAGATTTAAAAAAGGTATGTGAAATTTTCTTTTAGCAAAATGAGTTTGTATATAGAATAGGTTTTTAAATTTAGTTAGATTAGTAAATTTAATAATAAAAAAGAAGAAAAGAGAACTTTATTATTTTCGTAATTGTTTTTGTAAAAAAGTTTATTGTAAATATTATTTATTTATAACATTGCAAAGCGATTTTTCAGGCTACGTTTTGACGTAACATTAAGTTCTAGGTATGCCAAAAATATCATATGCTACAAATATACATATTTCTGTAATAGTTAAGCTTTACTAAAATTTACTTTTACTGTAAATAAAAATAAGGAGTTCTTGCATTAAATGCTTTAAAATTATCAAAAAATATGGAAAAAAAATATGTAAGACAAATGAATATTTGTAAAGTTTAAGTGGGTACTATTCCCAAACTTACTTTTCGTTTGTTTTAGAATTATCATGCTTCTTACAAAATTTAAATTAATGAAGGTGAAGTGAATTCAGTCCCTAGACGGCGCAACAGGTACTCGCTTAAGTCCACTTCTTTAATTCATTTTAATATGAAAATGGTTTAATTTAATCCAAAAACGCTTTATGTATAATACCATTTTATATTTTTCGAATATTTAATAATTCAGGTTGATATTTTTATTCTTTCACTTGCAAACCAGTTAAAAATGGTAGATTTTACATATTTTTTACTAATAAATTGCTAAATACAGTATAATATAATTTAAAATAAACTGCAATTTGCAATAAATGAATAACAACATTTAGAATGTTATATTTTTTTCCCCAAATTTTTTTAACAGAAATCAAATTACCTACGTTCAATAAATAGGTTTCCTAAAATAGTCAGATACATTATATACCTACATCAGGAGCATATACATACAAAAACAAACTACGTATATCAATTTTTTTCAAAAATGGAATATTGTATAACAAAAAATAGAAAAAAACAAATTAAATAAAAATACACATATAATACAAAAATTTCAAAATTTAAAAAATAAACAAAAAAAATAAACGTTTTTAATGCTTTTAACTTCGATTATTAACATGTGTATGTACATATAATAAGAAAGTTGAAAAAATTCAATTTTATATTCATCGAAATTAAAAAATTTTCAAATTCTTAATTAATTATTAATTAGTAATTAAAATAATAAAAAAACAAATTTGCTTTAATATTTAACAAAACTGTTATTGTGATAAGATAAATAAAAAAAATTGTGTGATTTTTAAGAAAAGAAACAAATGATACCAAAAAAGACAAACAACACATATAAATAGAAAAGAAAAAATGAACATATTTTAAATAATAATTATATGAATTAACTTAAGAAACAAAAAATTATAAATTTGGATATATTTAATTAATATAAATATAAACTTAAAAATATTTATTTCATTTAAATAATTTAAGTTAATTCTGAATAAAACAAATAGGTACATATTTAAAAATTGAATGAGAAACAAAGTTATTAAGAAAGTAATACTACCTTTACATACATACAAGTGCATTTACTTACATATTATTACAACCTATATTAAGAATTTAATATAAACTTTTTATAATATAAATATTGTATATCTCGCTTTTTATTCACATTCAAAACGCAATTTTCTTCAGGTAATTCTCTTAATTAGATTTTCAAAACATAATTTTTCAATTGAATTTTCGCACTCTGCCGAAGGGGTAGTGGTGTTTTAAAATCAGAAAAGTTCTTAGAAAAATGTAAAAAAAAATACAACTGACAATTTTTTCATGCAAGTACTTCGTACTAATGAAGTTAGAACTGTATTTTCTAAAAACGGTTGGTTAGCCACTCACTTTCTTTTCACTTGGCGAATAAAATAGCGAGATACAGATACATAATCACACCCTTTTTCTCAGTTTTATCTATTATATATTTTGGCAAATTACAAATAATAGATTATACACAAATTACTTTAGAGAAAAAATTTTCCATTAATAACAATTAGTGTAATTTAATAATTAGGTATGTAATCTATTACATACTTAATTATTCAATTACGTGGATGAACTTTTGTTTTTGGAGCCAGTTCATAATATACATAGTTTGCTGAAGATCTATTGTACACATCAAATCTATAAATACGTGCATATTTTTATACTTTCTACGTCCAAGAAATTATTTGTGTAAATGTAGTATTGAAATTTAAAAAAGTAAGTATAAATGCTTTATATCTAGTATCTATGTATCATTAAACACAGAACAATTTAAAAGAAATGTTATTATTGGCAATAACACCACAAAAAAAAAAAGAATAAGCAAATATTACTTAGATTTCGACAATAAGTAAAATGAAATATAAAAAACTATTATACAAATATATTATTCAAAAAAAAGCCACGAAAATGGTACAAAACTAAATGACTAAAAATGAAAAAAAAAAAAAAACAAAAATGAAATTCGAAACAATTATACTAATTGAAGACTTGCACATTACTTGAAAAAAACAGTTTTATTGCTAATTCATAAGATTAACTTTCCCAAAAATTATTTCTTGAAGATTTTCTTGACTTTGTTTTTTAAGGAAATTTGTACAATATTGAATATTTCATGGTAATAATATTAACGAGTAATTGCCATTATATTTAAATTATAAAATCAAATTTTAATTAAATATGGATTAGATTTTAATTGAATAAATAATTGAATTAATTGAATAAATTTAAATTAATTGAATTAGTTTTTTTTAGTACAAGTACTTTTAAGTATAGTCGAAATACATTTCTAGTGGCCGCATTTTCTTCTCGCCTAGTAAGTAAATAGATAGCGTGAGAAAAAAGAATAAGCTCTTTTATTGCGCTAGTCATCAAAATTTCACAACTATATTATGACATAAATGTTTTTGAATTGAATTGAGTTGCAATATTTGTTTATGAACATTGTTGCGGTTCAATTTTGACTACATATATCAAGTATATATGTCTTGTTTTCAAAATTTTCTAATTTATTACCAAAAAAATCAGTTAAAAAATGAATTTGTTTTTTTTATAGATTAGAAATCTATAAAAACATTTACATTTATATAAATTAGGGGTTTTCATATATGCACAGAGTACTTAAAGTTCTACATTGGAACTTAAATTTCTATTAAAATTTAAACTAGATATCTTCACTACATTTCTGACATTTTTTTATTACAGAAAGTATTTCTGAACGATCCATATTCTCAGTGTGTGCTGCATACAACTTTCGAACGTGCTACAAGTTAGAACTATTCTAGAACTAAGTTGACGAAAATCCCCTTACTCTATTTCATTTCTATTTTCAAAAAGAGAACATAAATAGTATTCCTTTGCTCACAAAGAGAAAATTTTCAAAGTTGCAAAAAATTTCAACATTTACGAGAAACAATTATTATTCTATTAATATATTAGCATATCTTTTTGAGAATAATAATTTTCTAATTAATATTATGCAAAAATTAATTAATACAAACGATGATGTTTTTTATATAATAACCTACAGAAATATTTTTTGAAAATTTTTAATAATTAAATTAAAATTATATAAGATACATATATAATGTATACATATATTATATACATATATTATTACATATACATATATAATACAATCTTATTTATATTTATGTATATAAATGAGATTGTATATAATATAAATATGTACACATGACAATTTTTATTGCATTTGTTCTATTAAAAAATTAGCAATATAGTATTTAATTTTTTTTTATTATAGTGTGGCTAATTATTAATACTGTATTATATGTACCTACATAATATGTACATGAATTTAAAATAAATATTTATATGTCAAATATATGGTATATAATTATGTATGCCTATAAGCAGGTACATACACAACTTAAATATATTATTATATAATTATAATAGTAATTATAATTAAAATACTTCTGAAAAGCATTTGCTCCATTACTAAAAATCAGTATTTAAAAAAAATATATACACTATCTTGATTGCTAATAAAATATATTTTTAGTCATTAGATATCGATTTGACCAAAATAATGTTTTGTTCGGATGCTGAATTATCATATTCAAATATTTTGTATTAAAAATTCAAAATGTTCTACTAGTATTTAAGTCGTGATTTTCATTTTGTACACGCAGTATTGTACTCGTATAAATAGTCACAAAAGTTTTTAAATTAATCATTAAATTATAAATACAATTTCACTTTTATTTGTAATTTTTAATTTATTTATCTACTTTAAACAGTTAAAATTATATATTAAATTAAATTTTAAATAAAATAAGTACATTACTTATAAAAAATATCTACAGATATATTTAAAAATAAAAGAAGAAACAATTTATATATTTAATGAAAAGAAAGTGGAATTTTCCAGAATTTAGATTGATCTTTTATTTTCCAATTTTATTGAACTCTAAAAATCGAAATTGAGAACACACTTTTAAATTCGAAATTTAAAAAAAATTGCTTCTTATAAAAGAACCTTTTAGATTTTTTTTTAGAAAATCTTCAAAAGTTTTGGCATATTTTGTTAATGAAAACAAAGAAATTTAAAAATACAAAAGAAAAAAAATTGTTAACAAATTAAGACTATCAAATTTGAAATTAATTTCAGAATTTTTATTTTTGCTCTTTTTCTTTCTTGGATGACGCTAATTTAATGACTATTTGTTTAATTTCTGAATAAGTAACAAATTTCACTTTAAATGGATTTGTTGTAGTAAAATCCTTATGCTGAAGCTGTACTATTTAAGTTATTATCGGCTGGTTTGTCAATATTTATTTGAAAGGTTACTGAACCCATGCGATCGCGTATACTGCCACTGTAAATTATATTTCTTGCCCAAGCTCTGCATTCTATGCTAATTAATTGATTATAAGTTGCTGGTTCAATTTGTATTGCAACTAATGGACTTAAATAGTCGGGGACATTTTTATATGGATAATAAAAAGATGGGAAACCACGAGTTGGATAGTATGAAATATTTTTAATTAGTTCGTTATCAACGGAGTGTTGCCCCTTACATGAAATCCAAATTTGCTTTTGCTACAAAATAAAAAAGAAAAGAAAATATTAGTTTGAAAAAATTTGTGTATTCAAATTTTAGAATATAATAACAAACCTGACTTAATGGAAGTGATTTGATATGTTCTGCTAAATCTTTTGACATTTCTGAAGGTAAATCAGCAGCATCGTAATAGCTCGGTTCCCAACCGTAAATTTTATTTAATTTTAAGAAAACACATGGTTTTTGATTTTTATAGCCATAATGTTGTTTTGGAGAACATGGCCCAAAATTATCTATATCGACAGAGCATGATTTTCCTTCTGCTACTTTTGTATTAAAATCGCAGTGCTGTTGATTCAAGCCACCGTTTGGTAAATGTGTTTTATTTTTGTATTCTTAATGAGAAAAAATCATATTTTACAAAACAAACAAAAAAAAAAAACTTTTTCTTACGTTCTAAAAAATCATCTAATAATTCAATCCAATATTCAGATTCTTTTGGATTTTGTATATTTAATTTAATAATAGAACCACGTTCTGTTTCTTCAGATAATGGACGATAACCCATTCCAGGATTTTCACCAATTAATGAGTCGCCTAATTTATATTTAGGTTCATGATCACTTATTGTTTTGAAGAGGATCTGCAAACATATCGCAAACAGAGCGGCCAGTACTGCATAAAAAATGGCGTAAAATATTAAAATTTTAGCTGAAAGAAGACAAAAGAAAATGAAAATTAAAAATAAAACTAGAATCAAATTGGGTTATGATTTAAAGTAATAAAAAATTATGTGAAGGAACTTATTAAGTATTTTTTGTTAAGAAATTATTGAGAACTTCAAAATTTACCTTACTAGGCGTCAGATTTTCTTACTATAGGTTTTCTCACGAGAACGTATTAAAATTAAACTCAGCAATCTTAGTAAAAAACAATAAGCTCTGTTTTGTGAGTATTTACTTTTTGACCATGATTGTTATTTAATTTTTTAACAACTTGTATTAATTTTAAAAAATAACTCAGTTATTGAACATAGAAATATTTCTATTTTTCAAAAAACATAAGATATTCAAAAATATTACTAAATTATTTATTTTAAAAATTTCCAAATTTTTACAGAAACTAACATGGAATTTTTCCCAATAACCGATTATATTCACATAACAGCAGAACTTATTATCTTCTACTAAGAAAACAAGTTTTCTGTCTGAAAATACGGGGAATCATGAATAAATTCATGGAAATCAAAAGACACTAATTTTTGCCAATCGCCAATTTTACATTTTTCATCAGATTTAAAAAGTTAATCATATAGGAATTTTTCAAACTTAAATGTTTTTGCTAAACACACTAATCTTTTTGTTGACATTCTTTTCAGGCAAATCGGACTTTACAAAATTAAGCTCTACTGCGATTCACTTTCAAATTCAAAGTCTTCGACGTATAGAAAATATAGGACGGACATATATACATATTTAGTTTTGAAACACATTTTTAAGTTAATATGAAAAAATCTGTGTATAAAATATGAATTTTCTGCACGTTTTGAAAACACATTTTGACACATTTTACTGGAAAAATTATGAGAGATAGAGGAAAATTTTATATGGGTTAACTTTTAGATCTAATTGAAGCGCATTGAAAAAACCAAAAAAAGAAAATAATAACACAAATTTTCGAAAAATATCGAATTTTTAAGTCAATTAATCAAAATTCTATGAAACCAGCTGCCGATGGTTACTCTATGTCGCAGGGTTCCGACAACTGACTGTAACTCGGATACTAGTATAACAAGAATCATCCCTGAAATTATTTGCCAACTTATGCGAAACATCCTGTATAATCGTTTATTTGATAAAATTAAGTTTAATAATGTTTTAATGAATAAATGTTACATTTGCTATTGTTATATTTTACTTGTAAGTATGCATTCACATATTTTTAATTACTGCTCTTAAAAAATATCATATGCAAGTCAAGTATGGAAACAAATTTTCTCATTTGAAATTGATTTTGTTTAATTTCAAATAAAGTAACACAATTTCCAAATCTTTAATAAAGAATTAAGAGTATAAATAAAAAATATTAATGCAGGGATTCAACTAAAGTGAAACGTTAAAAACGATATATAATTTGAGCATGGAGAAAAGAATTTTTCATGAGAACAAATTACTTAGATATAAATCAACTCATATACTTCGAAAAAAACAAATTTTTATTCACGATTATAAACAAGAAGATGAAAGCTATCTTATCAATTACAATAAGAGGCACCGTGCATAGTTACAACACACAGAATAAGAATATGTACGTATTAAGAATATACAAGAATAAGAATATATAAGAATATTCACCTTACCAGATGAAACAAAAAACCGGTAAAGATTAAATTAGTTCAAAAGCTACTTTAAAAATACTTAAAACTTTTTAGAAATTAATGTATTTGTATACTCGTAAGCAATAATATAAAAAAGAGAATATGAATACTGAGTTTAGAAAAATCTGTTCACAAGATGTTGTTTACAATTATCCTTAACTCAAATAATTACAATTGCATTATGAATAGGGACAAAAGCAGAAATTTTAAAGCATGTGAATCTGTTTCAAAAAACCTAACTATGAATTGAAAAAAGTTGCTAATTGTTAGAAGAAAAGAATAAAATGATATTTTTATTTGCAATTTCTTGAAACTTTTAAGTTTCTTTCAAAAAATAAAAAATTGCCATGATAAAAAAAATAATAGCTTTTAATTGCTTTTTTTTTAATTTAGTTGCTATTGTTTGAATTAGATTGAAATTTAACTAAAATCAATAAAATAAAAGAAAAAAAAATTCCAGTTGGATGTAAAAACAACAAAGTCAAAAGATAGGTTTACATACGTTTGCTTTCGTAGTTGCTTGTTTTAATTTTGTAATGTTAAAATATTAATTTTTAAATATTTGTGATTTTAAACAGCAAGTATAATTTTTAAAAAATAAAATATTTTAACAGGTACTTAACAATTTTTTGTGAACGATTTTTCAAAACAACTTCAAAATGATTTTTTGCATTTTAATTAAATATAATTTTAGATTTATCAGTAGTAATCGATAATGCAAAAAAAAAAAACAAAAGCATTGTAACTTTTAATGTTATCAAAAGATGTCCTTTTTATACGAACGAATGTTTGAAGGGTATACTAAATTTGCCTTACCGTGTGTAACGCTAAGAAATAATGGTCTGAAATATAGACTCAAGTGTGTTTTTGATCAGTGTCGAATTGTGAGTCAAAAACCAAGTAAGCTTAGTTCACCAAATTTTCACAAATGGTTTACTATAGTAAATGTCAGAAGCCTATTTAAATTGGATATGATCGGATTCGAGTACCTGCCATAGAACTTCAAAGTTTATTTGACTATATCTTAGAAACCATAAAAATTAAAACCATTTTATAAATAGTTGTCCGTAATTTGTTAACAACATTGATTAGTTTTAAAATCTTTTGATTAAATACCGTCCGTTGACATTTTTACAAAACTTCTACACTATTCAAGATAGATATCTGAAATTTCATTCGTATACATAGATCTTTACTAAAAAATTATTTCTATAGAAAAAAATTTTTACCTATCTTCCCCCCTCTAAAAATTGAAGCCCTTAAAACCTTGAAAATGCTATTTGTCAACTATTTATTCCAGCTAAACTATAAGCAAAATTTCAAATTTTGCACACGCAGAAAAGTAGGGGCTGGCTTCTTCTACCGCGGCATACCATACTTGAATATAAAAAAAACAAAATGGCATTAAAAAATATAATATTTTTCAATTGTTTTTTTCTTTTATTTCAAAGATTGCATACAGTGCTCATCCTAAATGTATGTAATCTTTGAAATATATTCGTATATGAATAAAAATAATTTTAATATTGTAGTACATCGCTAGATTGTTTTTAAAAGCGCTATTTTTATTTGTTGATACATAGATCTTTACTAAAAAATTATTTCTATAGAAAAAAATTTTTACCTATCTTCCCCCCTCTAAAAATTGAAGCCCCTAAAACCTTGAAAATGCTATTTGTCAACTATTTATTCCAGCTAAACTATAAGCAAAATTTCAAATTTTGCACACGCAGAAAAGTAGGGGCTGGCTTCTTCTACCGCGGCATACCATACTTGAATATAAAAAAAACAAAATGGCATTAAAAAATATAATATTTTTCAATTGTTTTTTTCTTTTATTTCAAAGATTGCATACAGTGCTCATCCTAAATGTATGTAATCTTTGAAATATATTCGTATATGAATAAAAATAATTTTAATATTGTAGTACATCGCTAGATTGTTTTTAAAAGCGCTATTTTTATTTGTTGATACATAGATCTTTACTAAAAAATTATTTCTATAGAAAAAAATTTTTACCTATCTTCCCCCCTCTAAAAATTGAAGCCCCTAAAACCTTGAAAATGCTATTTGTCAACTATTTATTCCAGCTAAACTATAAGCAAAATTTCAAATTTTGCACACGCAGAAAAGTAGGGGCTGGCTTCTTCTACCGCGGCATACCATACTTGAATATAAAAAAAACAAAATGGCATTAAAAAATATAATATTTTTCAATTGTTCTTTTCTTTTATTTCAAAGATTGCATACAGTGCTCATCCTAAATGTATGTAATCTTTGAAATATATTCGTATATGAATAAAAATAATTTTAATATTGTAGTACATCGCTAGATTGTTTTTAAAAGCGCTATTTTTATTTGTTGATACATAGATCTTTACTAAAAAATTATTTCTATAGAAAAAAATTTTTACCTATCTTCCCCCCTCTAAAAATTGAAGCCCCTAAAACCTTGAAAATGCTATTTGTCAACTATTTATTCCAGCTAAACTATAAGCAAAATTTCAAATTTTGCACACGCAGAAAAGTAGGGGCTGGCTTCTTCTACCGCGGCATACCATACTTGAATATAAAAAAAACAAAATGGCATTAAAAAATATAATATTTTTCAATTGTTTTTTTCTTTTATTTCAAAGATTGCATACAGTGCTCATCCTAAATGTATGCAATCTTTGAAATATATTCGTATATGAATAAAAATAATTTTAATATTGTAGTACATCGCTAGATTGTTTTTAAAAGCGCTATTTTTATTTGTTGAAGGAAAAAGTGCTACATTACAAACCATTGGTTTGACCCAACTTTATTTTTAATTATTTCTACAAAATTCAAATATTCAATTTCAAGTGCAATTATTGGCAATGAAATATTAAAAAAAAACAATAAGTATTGAGGTAATAAAGTTATTTTTATTAAACTTTATATTCAATTATTACGCTTTGGTGATTGATTTTTCGTTTTTAATACAATATAGTTAAGGTAAACTTAAATTTTTATAATCATAAAATAAATTAAAATAAAATTTATAATATGTATAGTTTTTTTTTAGATTTAATAAACAATCTGGTGAAATACAGCTCTATCAATTGTGTTTTTGCTGAGAATATGTGGATTTAATTAAATATTCAATTTTTAGAATATATTTAATCAATATATAGTAGCTATTATTTCAGAATTTTGCAAACAATTACAGGAAGTTAAATTATTGTCGAATCAGATATTCTAATTTTATGTTATAAAATCAAACACCATTATTGAAAGGTAGAGCTTATAGATTAATTCAATTTTCTACACCTTTTTCTATTTTATACATACATACATACATATATATGCAGGACCATAATTAAAATTAGTTTATTTAAAATGTTGTATGGCGGGGCTAACGGGGGAAAGAAATTTAAAATTTATTTCATTGCTGAATTCAATAATTCTATAACCACACCATACTCATAGAAAATTTGAATTTGATCAAAACAATTACATGTTACTATTATACAAGTACAAATTATATACGTACTTTGTATACTTATTTCCAGATATGCGTGCACAGAGAAATTTCTAGCCAATGTTGTATAAGGCATTGGAAGACTCAAAAAAAATTTAATTTACTAGTTGCTTGATGATTTTTAAGCGTAGGATAAAATTTTTATTCGGCCATTTAAATAAATAATTGCAAATAATTGAAAAAAATGAGTTTTAATTGAACCTGTAAACATATACATAAGTATACATTATATATATAACTGGAAATTATTTTAATTAAAACTTTTACGCACATAAGAACTTTTTCATGTTCCAATATTGTTCATAGCGAATATATATGACAATCTTACCCGTATAAACTTTAACTTAAACTTTTAAAAATCGTATTTTTACTTTAATTTTTTTAACGTATTAATGTGCTATAAGTAAATTAAAAAAATTGTCGTATAATGGCAGTTAGGTACTATGTAACATACTTCCCTTAGGTACATTCTGTAACATACGTAATTTGTTTTTTTTTTATTTTAAAAGTATATGATAAGACTGAAATAATATAAAATTTGCGCAGATACACATCGCTTGCACAATTCAAATGCGATGTAAGATAGTCATCCTGCCGTAAAAAAATTTTTGCAGAATAATGAAGCCTTGAGACCATACTAAAGGCTAAACGATGATCTTACAGAATGACTGTGTTTGTGTTAAGTAAAAAATCTTTTATTTTTTTCAATGTCAACATTGCAACATAATCGTTGCAATGTTGACATTTAGAAAAAAATTTGTTCATTGTCTGAACTTTGTGTCAAACTCGAAAAAATATGTACATAACTACTGAAATTCTCAAAAGCGAATTTATAATAAGTGTTTTTACACACCATATAATAAACCCGCTTGATTAAAAGTTTATCAAATTCGAACAGAATTTTGGAAATTCAACTAAAATTTGTGTTATGGCGAATAGCAACATCGTTAATATTTAAGTAATGTAGAATTTTATATTTATAGTTATGTTTACACGACTACTCTTGCATGAAAGTCTTAATTAACGTTTGATTGTGCTTTTATCAATTTTGAGAAAAATGTGCCTTAGTATCTAAAGTATCTAACTTTTTTTTGCTAAAATATACCTTTTTGGCTGTGATTGTATGCAAGTGGTCAGTGTAGGTAAATTATTTGTAATTTTATTGGTAAATTTATTGTAATTTTTTAATTAAGCGAACGATATTGTTAATTACAATGAAAATATTTTTAAAATAAAAATTGAAAGTTTATTGAAAATTAATTTATGATAATAAAGTATTATTATATATATACAATATTATATCTAAAGTTTATTAAAAAAATAGTAAATCTACATTTTGACTTTTTTTTTTGAATTTTCAAGTTTAAATTATTTGTGCTTATAAAAAATTGATTTGAAAACAATATAATTATAACTATGGCATTAAATCCAGAACTAAACACAGTGAATACTGCATTGTCAAACAAAAACAAATTTCTTTTTACAATGCGGGATACAAATTTTGATTTTTTAATGCCTTTTAAATTAACGCTACAAATAAAATTATTAATGTCTTATCACCATCCCTCTTGAAATAATCAGTCTATTGATAATTTTCTAATCAAAGTTAATAACATCAAAGTTAACACAAAAATTAAAAAATCGGCTTATAAAAATGTCAATTTAAATGACTAACTAATGCACTCTGGCAATACTTGTAGTCAAAAGTTTACAAAAAACATCCAGAATTTTTTGGAAGCACGATTTATTGTTCTCTGCCTTTCGAAAACGCATTTTATTCAATTTGGAATACGTAATATTGTAATTATTAAGAATTAAATTAAAAATTGCCAATTATTTTTTTTTAAGAATCAAAATGAAGCATGATATATCGTCAAAGTCTACGCTTTTTCTTACAATACATAATACTGCCTGTACGTATACCTGAACATAATTAACATTCAGTAAAGGTGTTGAAATAAATAGAAACAACCAGGTAATTGCTTTTTCTGTATTGAAAATTATTATTAAAATTCAATAAAAAAATAAAGCTTTAACCACTTTAACATTGTCTAGGTTACAATTTAATGTAGTATCTACATACATTTATATAAACATATTATAAAAGGAACATATTCTCAATGAAATTATGTAAAAATCGGAAATTATTGAAAAATTATTAATTACAAAAGTTATTTTTTACAAAAACATTTTTTTATTCTTTTTTGTGGGATTTAAAATACAGTAATGTTCCAACATAACGAACGATATAACATCAAGGCCGTTCGTTATATACATCGAATCCATCTTTCCAAATGAGGGCATAAGTACATACTACAATCAAAAGAAAGTTTTTTTTTTAAATCACAAATATGTAACAAAAAATTAATGATTATTTTTTTTTGAAAATAATTAAAGTTTAGGCCGCAGAAAAAATGAATAATGCTGACCAAAAAATATCCAAACATGAATACATACGCCAATTTCGTTATTTTTGAGTCAAAAACACTTTTACAGGTTTTTACGGATGACCTCTCAGAATATTTAATCCGTTTTTCGACATCTCGTTTAGTTTTATAGATATTCAAATGTTACTTTGATTCACCTCCATTTTTAAATCTATTTGGGATGCAAATTGAACTATATCCAAAATTGTTGGCGTATGGATTAAATTTTCAAAAAATTTTTTTAGAATTTTTTTTACTGCTGTAATGATCTATGTCATGGATTTTTTTTAGTGCTGTAATGATCCATGTCATTGTGTATCGGCATAAATTATTTTTTGATTTATCCACATTATTTTTTATATTCATTACCGTATAGTGTATACAATAGGTAGGTTATGTGATGGCAACAAATTTTGCATATCGAGTTTTCGGTGGGAACACGCACCTCTCTATGGCAGGAAAGTGTAAATAAACTATTTTTTGCAACTTGTCGGCCTGTCAGTCTGTCGGTCTGTCGTACTGTGTATGTACGCGTGTATCTCAAGTTCGGCGGAACCGATTTTGATGAAATTAGATATGTAAGTTTATTTCGACTATGGCACGGATTGATTAATTATTGGAATACCTTAGTCCTCGGGAGCTGCACTTTTTAGCGGGCCTGTTTTACATTTTTGACCATTTTGAAGAAAATATTCAACCGATTTACTTGAAATTTCACATATAAGCTTCGCTCGAACGTCCGCGAAATCTCCTTACTTTTGGAAGGAATCAGCCATCAGCAACTGGACGTTTACTACGGACCAAACATATATTTTTGCGTATATAAAGAGAAATAATCAACCGATTTCATTGAAATTTAATATGTACTTAAATTTCTCGTATTAAAACAATGAACTTTTTCGAAAGAACAGGGCTCGAAAACTGATCTGTGGGCTGATTTTACATTTTTTACCATATCTACGGAACGAATTGATGGAATTTCTTGAAATTTGAGTTTTGAGTTCTGGTAGCACAGAACGAAACTCTACTAAGAGCCACATTTACATTTTTCTGGGTATATTTACTATAAACTTACTAATGCCTTATTAAGAAGTATTTAACAGACATTTTTATAATATTTTCTAACACTTTCACTTAACTAGACAATACATCTCGGACGGACTTAATCGACATGTCTGTCCGTCCGTCTGATTGCACGATAACTCAAAAACGAATAATTAAATCGACACCAAACTTTCACAAGTTTTTTCCTTTGTGCCAACGACGGCTGGTATTGTAATTTACGACGCGTTCGAATCAATTAGCTGCAATACAACTCAAAGAGGTTCTTTTAAATATTTCAAAAAGCTATAGAGATATTAATATCTAATGGGAAGATGTGTCCAATTATACTTCACATATTTTCTGAAAATTTTTAATGGAATTGTAAATTATTATTAATATTAAATATTTTTAATGGAATGGTTCGGCTAGTTGCCATACAACTATGAAAGGTAATTTTAAATTTATGGAAAAATAATAAACCTAAATTCATGAAATTCGGCAGTCGTGTGTCCAATTATAGGTCAGATATATTTCTCAAGTTTTGGTGGAATTGCTTGACAGGTTCGGGTAGCTGATATACAACTTCGAAAGTTAATTTTAAATATTTGGAAAAATATATTAAGGCTAGATTCATGAAACTCGGCAGTCATGTGTCCACTTACAGGTCAGACATAATATCTGTGAAGTTTCTATGAAGTGGTTTGACAAGTTCAAGTTAGTTATTTCCAATCAAAGTTATTCCCAAATATTTCAAAAACAAATTTTTAAACTCAGATTGTCAAAGTGCAGGGTATTATTCAGTCGATTTATACCGACTGAAACGTTTTTACTTGTTAATCATTTTAAACAAATCAGATTTATTTACGATTACGATTAAATTGTTTGATTTTATTTATCACACTTAATTTATGATTGAAGTTTTACTTAATATTTTTACCACTTCTTAAAAAACTCTAAAAAAGCTTTAAACACTGTTTTAAAAGTTTTTGAACAGAGAGAAATTAGTATCATATTTTAAAGTAATTCTTTCGCTGACAAATTCAAAACATTCATAGATTTCGTTAAAATACTTTTTAAAACGCCTGAGCAATGCAATAATTTAATTGCCGAGTCTTTTAATAACAAATAAAAATGTTTAAGTCATTCTTAGCTGAATGAATTATACCCTATACCTTGTTATATTTATGTCTAACAAAATTAAGTAATTTGTCTGTTCGTTAAAAATAGTTATCTAATCTATTTTATTTTGGTTTTTTAGTTTTCTTGTTTTTTTTTTAAATATTTGTTGATCACAACGATTTGATTTGGTAAATTTGTCTATTAATTATAATATTAGAAACAAATTTTTTGATATTTATTACATAGAGAGTACTTAATTCAAAAAATTTACCGGTTTGTTTTATATTGGAATGTTCGTAATATTGACGCACCGCTGTCATGCTAACAAAAATTTTTTTACTCATCTAACAACCCTGCTAAATCTGTATTAGTCGTTTAGCTTTTTGCACTTTTTTATTGAATTTATTTAAATTAATTTCAGTCAAGCTGACGATCTAAGGATAATTTAGTCAAAAAGTTTTGTTTTTTATGATTTTACATTGACGAAAGCAGTGCGCATTCCAATTCGTTTGGTTTTTTAGTTTTGTTGTTTTTTTTTTAATATTTGTTGATCAAAACGATTTGATTTTATATTATTGCAAGCACATAACCAGTTAACTATAGTTTAATATAACTGTTACTAGCTTTTTCTGGTTTTTTGTAAATTTTTTTTATAAATTTATATAGAAACATAACTATTTACGATATATATATACATATTTACATGTATATGAATGTATATATAAGTATATGTATATATTTTTTTTATTTCGTTTTTGTTTAATTTTCGGAATATTTTTATTAATCACGAGGTAAAATATTCGTGATTTTTACTTTATAATATTGAATTTTTATTCTATATACTTAAGCAAATTACAAAAAACAAAAATTATTTGAACTGTCTGTCGTCTATTGAAATTTCATGTCTGATAAATTTTTATTAAAAATAATGTCGCAATATATAAAATGTGCTATTCAGACAATATTAATAATAGTAGTACTCATATACGCACATATTCATATATATTATGTACATATACGTATATACTTATATGTAGATATTATGCTTTTATGTAGATGTTTTACAAGGTAATTAATTAGAGCAGAAAAATGTATTAAGAATAATAATTGAATTAATTTAAAAATTAAACATGAGCGTTTAAATAGATTTTTTTATAAATCAAACTAATTATTTTATGTTTGCATTGGAAAATAAAAACTGAGTAAATAATAGGTCCATATATACGTAGACAAGATACTTTTATACTAACAACCTAACGTTATAATTTTTTATTTCACATCAATATAATTTTGTATATTCACTGGCGGATTCAAAGAAGGGGCTTATTTGAATAAGCTTAATATTGAGTAAGAATATTTAAGTGGTCATATCAATAATATAAATATATAGTGGTCATAATAATAATATAAATATAAATATAAATGATTGGATCACTAAAAATTTGGTGATGAAACAAATGATTGCTGGCCTCTATATAGGTATTACTTATAAGTTTAATATAGGTATCACTTATAAGTTTTATAAAAATTTTTGATTCTTTTTGAAAAGTTACACCTAACTTTATGAGAGGGGTTACTGGAAAAGTATTGGTAAGCAATAATGGAAAAATACCAAATGTTATAAGTGAAGTTTTAAAAGAAGCGAGTAAAATGTATTCACTTCAGATAAGTTTTATAAATCCTTTTATATGTATATCTTTTTATAAAGATTGTTTTGGATGGAAACTTGTAAATTGTTGTTAATTGTACTGCAACATGAAATAATTAAATTTTTATGAACACTATCTTAATTTTTTATAGTTTAAGAATAAAAAAAATAACATAATTTAAACGAAGAAACAAGCATATTTTCAATTAATTTATAATAAGAGTTGATATTAATAGGCAATATCCTACTAATATAATGTTCTTGTGATTGTTTGGTTCAAAGACGATTGAATCGATCGCATGCAACCAATACATGTAATCATGACGATTACTGCATAAAGCAGTGAGGAGAACTATTTGCCGATAATTTCTTTATACCTCTTTAGCTTAGTTGGTGGAGCATCTGCTTAGAAACCAGTGGGTCATTGGTTCGAGTCCACTTCAAAAATGTTTTAATTTTTGGCTCAATTTTTTATCGACATCATTTACCTGTTCTGAAGTTGTGCGAAGGAAAATAGTAAAACAAAATAGTAAAATTGAAAGTTTTTTAAATCATTGAACGCGTTTCACTTTTCCTCTTATTTTTAAATTAGAATTTTTATTATTTTAATACGATTTTTTAATTTTTCATGGATTTTCTTCTATTTTTCCAAAATTTTGGCTGAACTTTTCATTTTAAAAAACCAATTGATTAAATGGTGTTTAAATTTGGTATAAAAAATGGGATACTTACTCAGTTTCTTCTTATCTGGTGAGATAAGCAAACAAGTTCTATGTATATTAAATCCAAAAATTTTTTGTTTTAAATTATATTACTTAAATTAGATAATCAAATTGTAAGGTATATAATATTTTTAAAGTTTATTTCTTTTTTTAAAGAAACCACTACAAAGTAACATTTCACATAAAGCAGTTAAAACTTTTTTTTCCAAATGAGATGATATGTGAACAAAATAAAAAAAACACAAAAATCCGGATAAGTTTATATTATCTGTTTACATAATTTTGTACTCGAGTTGCTAAGTACAATAAAAGTCGAAAATAAATTATTCGTATTATTTGGTTACTGAACTTCGGATAATATAAAAATAATCAATAAAAAAAATAACCAAAAAAACTAATAAAAAATAGTGTGTATATGTAATTGTAAATTATAAATATTGTACTTTCAATTACCTCAATTTCAATGTTATGAGAAGTTTTACGATACGATAATTTAAAATGTAAATAATTTTCAGTAATAATTATAAATAAAATGAGTTTCAATAATTTTAAAAACGTGCTTTTTAAGTATTGTTATTATTTACGTGCAGTTATAAACTTATTTTGAGTCGATTTTAAAATTGGCGAAACATAAATTTTTATTAAACGTGTTCACGTTTAATAAAAATTGCCCTCAAATGTTTTTTTAATAAATACATATATTTTAAAATGTATGCATGAAAAATTCATACTTTAATTTTTTTCCAAAATTTATTTTCTTGCTCTGCGGTTTGCTTACTCACGTACTTACTTAAAGTAGTAAAATTTTAATTCGCTTAGCATTAGTATCGAAACAAAAGTTTTTGTTGATGATCGTTTTCTACACAATAATAATGACTCCTGCGTCTTTTAAAGGGAATCTATACAATTCAATAGGTGCATTTGATAATGTCTTCAATAATCGGTCGACAACAATTGCATATGACAGTCACCGACTGGCAATTAACAATTTATGCTTAAAAAACTTTTGCACTTTCGTGCACAATTTTTATATACATATATAACCGGTTGACAACTGGCTTAGCAAATTGTTTTTGAGAAATATTCAATTCTTGACCCAAGTGTCATTAAATAAAATTACTTGTATTTTTCAAAATTATCCATTACTTATGCACAAAAAAACAAAATCAGCAGTTGAAATTTTTTTGACAAAATTAACAATATGCCAGGTTATTTATATGCCAATTAATAATATGACAGGTAATTCACACTACTAATTATGTGACATTTGTTTTTTGCATTATCGCTTGCAATAAAAATGTAGACATCTGTTGACAACATTAAAACTTACAATTCTTTTGTTAACCTCAATGTGCGAAACATTTATTTATATTTGATTTATTGAAATTATATAATAATAGGATGAAAAATTCTTGAAATTTAATTTCAATTAAAAATTAAAATTTCAATTTTAATGCTTATTTTATATTGTATGTTCAAAGAAATAATTAAAGTTTTATCAAAGGTCATTAAATTTTCAAGTTAAATAAGCTATTTTGAAAAAAAAAAAAAAACAATTAAAATCTTGTAGCTAAAGAACATTATTTTTTCATTTTTCTTTTTTTAAAGGTTATTTTTTTTTCAATAATGTTTATGTAAATACGAACACTAAAGCATGACATAATGTGTCTGTAAATACGCATACATATTTAAATTTGTTTACACACCCGCAACTTTAAAATTGGTTGGCTAAAATATCCTAAATTTTTTGGTAAGTAATCGACCGCAAGGCATTGTCTAGTTTAGCGAAAATGTTGCACAAAATATTCTTCAAATACTTTTTCCAAATTTTAATGATGTTACTACCTAATCTTTGTTTTAAAGACCTAGAAAAACGTTAATTTGTCAATTTTAGTTGATTTTTCGTACCATCCGAATTCGCTATAATCATATTATCCCAAATTTTAATCGCTAAAATATTTAACATATGAATACCAAAAGTTGATCAAATCGCCTCATCCTTGAAGAGATATTTTCGTAAAATAGCCGAAGTGCGGTTTCACCAAAAATTCAATGCCATACATTAAACTGCCTTGTAGTTTAATGTATGACATTGAAATAAGTTCCTTTTGGTAAGATTATATTACGTTAGTTATGCGCATACACATAATGTGCATCATAAGTAGTGTTACCCTCATAATTTCTTCTGCTAAAATTTTTGTTTCGTGAAATAATGTTGTCGTAAGTTAATCAAGCAGGAATTTTCACAAAACACTGCTTTTTTACGACTGAAAAATATAAAACTTAAAAGATATTAATTTTTGAAGTCTGCTGGTATGGTACTAAAAATACGAAATTGAAAAAATTTTTGCAAATTTAGAAATTTGAGTTGTTTTAAAAACTTTGAAAAAAACCATTTTGTGAATACTTTGAAATTACTAAAGTTCGTTAGTGTTTTGGCTCTTGTTACAACACAAATTATGAAAATTTTTTAATAGTTTGATTAAAAAAAAGTAAAAAGTGGTAGGTGTAATGTAGATTTTTTCTTCTTTTGAAGGTTTTGTCAAAAGAAGAGTTGAAAAATCTTCATTTTGCAGGTAAATTTCATTTTTGATAGGTTTATTTACACATAATTTTTTCGAAAACAATGACGATTATTGTTGAGAGCTAGGCTACATAATGAAAATTTAATGAAACTATGCAATAAAATTTTATATTAGTATGTTGACACCTTTTATTTTTAAAACTATTTTTATCCAGGAATATTTCGTGGTATATTTAAAGACAATAAGCCTCAATAATCTCAATAGTGATCCTGATTTCAGAACAGTAAAGCGACAAATTAATTTGTTTAAACTAAGACTAAAAAACTGCAAAATTATACTCTCAAGTGCATTTTAAATCGAAACTGGCGTATAAAAAATCACCTCGTATATTTTTTAAACTGAAAAAAAAGTAATAAAACCAGTTTTGTATTTTTTGTTATGAATTAATTGGAATTTTTATTTACGTTTTTTCCCTTATTTTTATTTTTTGTCTCTTTTAAGCATGATGAAAAAAATAAAAAGGAAAAAAAAATAACTTAAAAAAATCTGATGTGAACAGCACATCACCGTTCGCATTCTTGCATAAGAACATTAAAATGTTTTTTAAGCATTTATTTCAAATTATATGAGATGTAGAATGAACACTTTGGTTCCTGTACCTAGAAAAATGGAGATTTGAATATTAGTAGAGGTTAGTTTTCAGTGATCCGATTTCCCGTACGCAGTTAATGTTACACTATTAATCAGAACTCAAATATAATCTCAAAT